TGGCACCTGAAGAAACTTGGTTTTGGCAGCTGCTCTGCTCCTGGTGAAGCTCACTGGGATGACACAAACTGCTCCAGTTTCGCTTTTAACGAGCCCTCCCCTCCAGCTCTGTGGCATGTTTAACTCAGTGCGCTGTGAAGAAGTGAGGGCACAAGTGGCAGTGGTGCCATCCTGGCGGAGGCACCCCTGCTCCTGCCGGAGGTGTTCATCGAGGGACAGCAGGGGCTCTGCTATGTGAGATTTAAGTATTTGTGCAAAAATTGGAAGTCTCCCATCTCAAGGATAGGTACGATGACCTCCCCGCCACGGGTCACAAGCAGAGCCGATGGTGGCGTCACCCTGCAGCGGAGGTGGGGTCCAGCCTGCCACCTGACCACCCCCACACCAAAAATGTTTCGCCTTCCTATCCTGCTGCCGTGCACCTCCGAGAGGGGCCAGCTCCATCCTCTCTCCCACGACCAGCAGAGAGGCAACCCCAGATCCAGCCTAAGCCCAGCTCAGCAGCACCACACTGGACTTACTCCAGCCCAACCCAGCCCTTCTAGTACTGGAGAGCCCAGACTGGGACCAGTCCCCACCTCCACGCCATGCCAAGGGGCAGACCCCCTCCCCTTGTACTAAAAAAAAAAAAAGAAAATAAAAGAAAATATGGAAATAGAGGGGCTGAGACTGCTATTTTTATACCAGAGACCAAGGGGTCACACATCCAGCCATGGAACCCTCCTCCTTTTCCGCCGCTGAATCAGTCTAAACTCAGCCGGGCATTTCCATAAAGTACGTGCGTAAAAGGACGCATCACAAATCACGTTGTGTAATTTGTTTTAATAGAGACGGCGGTTATTACAGGTATTTCTAGCAGTGAGAAAAGTGCTTCAGGAAAAGATACTCCAGTAAAGGCAAGCTACGGTAACGCCATCAGCCTAGGCGTAGTATTGCACGGGGCATGGTCCCATTAAAAAGAAAAAGCTGTTGTTTTACAGTAGAAAAAGTTAAAACCAAGTAGTTGTATGGTGAAGAGTAACTGGGCTTTTTTTTTTTTTTTTAAGTACATTTTACTTCAGCATTGAATGCTATTTGCACGTTCTGAAATTCTCAGAAACTAAACTTTCCGTAACATTTAGACTGCAAACCACCTTGGGCAGGATATTACATGAAGAAGGGTGGGAAGGTTTTTTTTTTTAAACAGCACTCCTCCATCCACCATTCTCTCCCCACAGTGAAACTGGGTAACATTAAAAAAAAAAAAAACAAAAACACAACCCCAAACCACAGAAAATTGGTCGCTGCACTAGTCGAGTGCCTCTGTGAACTGCTACGAACAGCTCAGCCCCATCGGGTGGCCCGACCTCAATCCTGACAACGGTACGTGCTTCGCCAAGCGTCCTTAACCATCGCAACATCGAGCTACGTACGCGCCTGAAACCCTACGACACCTCGGCCTTTGTAAGCGAGCAAAGCAAAATGAGGAGGAAGTGGGTGTAAACGCGACTGCAGCTGGCAAAGGAACCCGAGCGAAGAGGCAGCAGGCCAGGCGGGTGTCTGGGGGAGAAGGGCGGCCTTTGCGGCTCCATTTTTAGGCCGTTGGTCACGCCTACGCAGGCAGGCCAGCCTTGTTTCAAAGCGAATTTCTGTAGGCACGCCGCCTGCACGTGCCCGTCAACAAATCAGGCCAAGGGGTGCAATTTCTGCAAGCTCTCTTTCCACTCGCGCCGATGGCTCCGAGGACAAACACGTCATTCAAAAGGAACAAAACGTCCTCGCATAAAACTTCGCAGATGTCAGCTTTATGTAAAAAGCCCCTCTCAAAGCTGAAGATTTTGCTCCCCCAACAGCTGCAACCGGAATTAGCTATACTCCCACCTCCCGTCACACTCACAATCATCAGCTGCCCCAAAAGATCTTCTGCTGTGTCAGCTGCTTATTCATTTCTCATCTTGCATCTCATTTGTTCATTTTTCTAGGCTGCCTCTCCTCTGGCACAGCAACCGGCGGTTTTCAAGGGTGCTGTTCTCTCTAGAAACTAACCTTCACCGGGCATCACGCTGTGGGGAATTTCCTGAAGGGCCTGACCACGCTGTCGCCCCCGGTACTAGGGAGGGGGGCACGATTAGCGAAACTCCTTTGCACCGGCATGAATTAAAATCTTGCAACCATTTCATTGGTGCCTTGACGACTTTGAATAAGTTTTTCCTGACAAGCGTTTTGGTGTTTGGTTTTTTTTTTTTTTAAAATAGCTAAATCTTTTCCATGGCAAAGCGTTCCTCATCCAGCCGAATGCAGCGCGTATCTCGGTCACTGCTCCTCCAAAGGCAGCCGGCACCTCCCATCTTGGGCAGTGTTGTACGATTCACAGTTTTTGCACTTCATGCCTAGGAAATGGAACTGCACTGTAGACCGGGCATTGCAGTCATTGCAAAGGATCTACACACAAAGGAAAGAGAGAGAGAGAGAGAAGGGCTTTAGCATCAGCAGGATGCTCAATATACTACAGCCACCCTTCTAGCAACCACAGAACTGGTTTGCCATCAGGGGACAAAGCAGAAAATACCTTCCCTTTAAAGAGAGCAGGGCCAATTTAATTTTTCCATTTGTAACTACTCAGATCACACTGCATGACCACAGAGAACTTACTTTTACTATGGCAAGGTGACTCCTCACAAAAGTCAGGGACAGACAGGCTTTGGCTTCTCTTGCCGTAGGAACCCACTGGAGAAACCCTCAAGTGACAGTGGATTAGTGGCAGCATTAGCCAGTCCGCTGTGCAAGACAGGCAAGTGAGCGTTCTTCCCAAAATAGGCAGAAAAGAGATTTTTTTTTTTTCCCCCAAATACCCTAACTCCAAGAGGTGGTAGGATGGGTTGTGTAAACCATAACACATACAACTAAAACAGTTATGACCAGTGCTGTTTAATTCAGTGTTACCAGCAAACAGCAACCAGTTTCACAGTTCTGAGTTAACCCCAAGAAACAGAAAGAAAACAGGAGAAGTCTTCATGTGCTAGCCTTGCACGAATCAATAGCTGAGTGTTTTTGGAGAAAGCCCGCCACGTTTTGTCTCGAACATTAAGCTCCAAGCTGTTAAAAAACAAATGTTTCGGCTTTTCGCTATGACAGCACACACCTAACACAACTGGAGAAAGCAAGATACTTCCAAAGACCAAGCCATTTCTCTGCTGTGCGATACTACAACACTGAGAGGTTGTGGCTGGGTGTTTTGGTGTTTATAAACTCGGCAGATGAACACTGTAAGCCTACGCAGGACACTTCGTCATTCCCTAACCGTCAGGTTGCCTTCTGATCCAGGACAAGTTCCTAGTGCCCTCTACCGCCAGTGATGCAAAGGCACAGACCTGCCAAGAAGAGAGACATGGGTGGAAGTCTCATCTCTTACCTCCACCATCATGTTCTGATACTCTGTGGGCATAGGAGTCTGCGCTACTTCGTCATCCAGCTGACGCCAGTGCCTTGTCATATCTAAAGCTGAGTGCATGCACAAAGGACACCTGTAACCTCTGGCAGAAAGGAAAAAGAGGAAAAAAGTCTAAATCAGAAGATGGAGAGAGGGGCCATGAAACAAGCCTGCCCAAAAGGACAAGTTTCATATCATACCGAAAAGAAACACTATGAATCAAGAAGTTCTTGCAAACAGAATTGGAAATTAAAAGCCCTTGTTCCTTTAGGAATTGGCTTCAAGTTATTTGGTACAGGATTGGCATCATCTCTTTGCCTCCTGAAGTAATCTCTTTGGACTACAACAGTATTAAGAGATGTTTAGAAATACTCACTCCTTTAGCATGTCCTCGTAACATGTTCTGAAAAGAAAACACAATGAGAAATGCAGTAAGAAGAATGCAATTACTGACCGGTAACACATTTGGACTGAACAAAAGGAAAACACAGAGCTATCCCCAAAACAAGAAATTAAAAAGTATCCTGAGTCCAAGTGAGAAGAAAGCTTCCCAGCAAAATCACCGGGTACTTCGGCAAAAATCCAGATACAGAGCACCCCCGATTCTAAGATCTTCCAACCCAACACAAGGGAACAAAGTCAACACTATAACAAGAATTGCATGGTTCAAGTTTGCTGAAAAAAATGGAGCGTGAGGCATCACAAGGTAAGTTTAAGACGGACAGGAGTTGAAGGAAGGTTCAGTCTGGAGAGACCTATGTCAAACACAGAGGCCATTCGCTTAGCGCAGAGAAAGTGGGGGGAAAAACAAGAGAACCATCGGAGTAACAAAAATATGAGTCTGTAACACAAGACAGAGGCAGAAAGGGAAAATGGAAGGGAAACGTGATAATTATTCCTCCAAATGCACCCAACGCGATGTATCACATCACTTCAAAATCCCGATAGAGCGGGCAGTTTTTGTAGTGCAACAGAGCACTCCATTGTGCTGGGGGGCTGCCTTAAGAAAAGAATCGAAAACTTAACTGATGGGCTGACACCAAACTCTTAAAACCATTGTGCAACTGCTTTTTGCACCAAAGAGGGACTTCTCTACAGGGTTCTTGAAATTTTAGTAGTAACAGAAAGGAATTCAGCCTGGGAAAATTCAGAATGGACAGCAGACAGGTCCCTCCACCACTGCCAAAATTTACTGCGGAAGGAAGACAACCTTGCTAAAAGTATTTCGTGATGAAACAGAGACTCCCCCTACCGCTTGAGTCCTTTAGACACCAGCTCTAAGTAGCTGATACAGACTAACAGGGCCTGTAGTGCCACTGAATAAACCCCACAGGCAAGGCGGCAGCTATTCCCCTTTCTTGAGTATTTGCAATGCTTTACCTGTGAAGCAGGTGACCGCACGGCAGAACATGAGCTCCGACGCGAGATGTGTGAATATCCTGTTTCGAGGTGAGCATCAGGCAAAAGACAAGAGAATTAATTCAAACACGGACAAAAATACAGCCACACACAAATCCAAGAGAGGAAAAGAAACAGCTCACCTCCAAACATATCGGACAGTCCTGCCTGGAGACGTTTTCAATACACTTTGCAAAGACAAAAAGAAAAAAAAACACCCAACCTTATTCTACTGCATGGATATCTGCATTTTTCTAAATTCTAAAATTCCCGCAGAATGATAAGAAAAGATGTATGAAATGTTACTGTTTGCATTTAGGCTGGAAGCTCTGAGAACTAACAGGTGGCTTAGTGTATTAAAAAACATTTCGTTTTAAATACTGCATTTGAAAGCGTACATAAGAGAAGGGCTCCCAGAACTCCCGCAGCGGCAACCAGCCTAGCTTTTCCTATACCGCCGCACAAACAGGAGCTCAAGCTTGCACGCTGTCTGGTCTGCAACCAAGAAATGCTTTTAAAAGGAGACCAAGATGCCGATTTCCTACAGTTTCAAATGCTAGCCAAGCCAGCCCAGAAGCGCTCTGTGCTGCTGTTAGGTGCACTTAGAGAAAGAGAACCTGCCACTCCCCCCATCTATATGGCCTTGGAATGGAGCCCAGGCACTATCAGCTTACATTTTTGAGGTGTTTATTTCTTTTTTTTCTTTTATTTTTTTAAGATAGGGAGTTAACCGGTATATTCTTACCTTGTGCTTTCCTCGAAGACTCAAGCTCAGGCACAAATTACACTTTGAACAGTGGAAAAACTCCTCCTTTGGACCAATCCTGAGGAGAAAAGCGTCAGGCCGCGGGCGGTGCCCGCCTCTCCG